CTGCTGTAGTGGCCTATTCTGCTCTACTAGCAACGTGAACATCGAGGGGAATCTCGTTCAACATATTCGATGCTGACGAATCATGTAGGTTTGTCGGTCCTGTGTAACCTCCGGAGGCTTCTGCGGTGTTTCTGGTGGGGGCGTACCCTGCTGTGCTGGTCTTACCTGCACTACCTTTGGCGTAAGTCTTCGCTCTGTCTCACGAAGGTACTGGGTATTTTATGACGCGCTCTGTCTAGACCTGCGCATAAAGAAGAATATAAGGATTGGGTATGTTGAATTACTGATAGGGAGTCGAGATCCTTTCTTATGGACATGTGACACCTTGTAAATGTACCTTTGTATTGTCTGCGACATCTTGTCGGAGGCCGATTCTGAAAAGAACGAGGCGGCTGAGGGGAGTTAAACGACATCGCGGACTCTTCGGAGTCTCAAGTACCTGGGGACGCACGTGGAATCAGTACGTAATGACCGCGGGTGCCTGTTGACAACGTCGCTGGCGTCCCCTGGGCCTTAGCTCAACGTCTCTGAGTCTCTCCTAGCCAAGCACGCTGGCTCTCTAATGCAATGCCCAGAGGATCTACTCGTGCTACGGACCACTACCATTAGCTCTGCACTCTCAACTCCGCCGTCTCCTCACGCTAAGCCCGTCTCTGATATTCAGACGTCGAGCGATTCAGCAGATGCAGGGTCCAGCTGGGCACCCCCGCTCCGCTGGAACTCACATCCTGCGCGCTGATGCCAGCGGGATGGCGTGTGGAGGTCCATGACGTCTTCGCCCCTTCCACACGGCCTTCCCATGTCCCCCTCAACGCATGGGGGAGGGATACATGTTTCAGTTGGGGAAGGGGTAGTCAGCGGTACTTGTGCTGGTGAGCATTCGGAGCAGGCATGCGATTGGAGCCGTAAAGTAACGTCTACGATGCCTGTTATAGATAGGTCTAAGCTTCGTTCTTATGACTGAGCTTAAGAACTACTAGTTGGCGAGTCAACCGCAAGATTTCGGACTGAGGTCAAGTCGCCCAATGCCAATCTGCCACTGACCTAGATGCTGACAGCGTCTCTTCCGCATATCATAACGACGATGCGCATTGAATATCCAGTACCCTCACTGAAGCTCATGCCTAACATCTTTTTTGCGGCCCTCTATGAACTCTATCACCCATAAACGAGATCCTGAGATGAGGCGGGATTTTCGTGTGTAGTATCCCTGCACGTATCTTTGCGGATTTGATAGAGAATTCAAGTTTATAATTCGCATCCTATGACTGAAGTCTTCATCCATGGTTCGCCTTCTACGGAGATACATCGAGAATCTGATTACTCGTATGCTCAGTCTCGAAACCTCTGCAGCAAGTATCTCCACTCTAGCGGCATCTAATCGGGTCTATTTATAACACTTCCATTGTCTCTTCCTGAAAGTTCAAAGTTGACACCTAACAAATCCCGTGGAACGATCGTGCCTATCGCACCCTCAACCACGAATCCCTGAAACGAACTCAATGCAAACCGCTATTGCGCTTGTCTGGACTATACCTGGCTTCACCTCTTCAGGTGCTGTCTCACAAGATCATCTCACTTCGATGTCTGGCATCGCTATGCGAAGCGACTTATTGTAACCAGCTTATCTGCGCCTTGGACAAGTTCGACAGGTCCAGTATCAAACTCTCAGGCTTGTCGCACTCAAAAATCCTCCGATATCCAGGGGAAATGATTCCTTGGGCTCACCTGACCACACTTCGACTTGTTCATTGTACAATCTTTCCCGATGGTTCGTGTTTATTCATTTTTTGTTACGCTTCGGCAGCATTTCTTGACTCGATAAAGACTAGCCTATCCCGATAGCAGCGGGCTACCACCGTTGAGGGAAGCATCAAAACCGTTCCACAACGCTGGTACGAGCGGTGTTGCTTTCAGGGTAATCCTACCTTACAGCTATCGGGATGGTAGGCCGATAAATAGGCGCGCAAATCTCCCTTGACAGTATTAAAGGTAGGTATCCGGGACTCTTTGCGACAGGTATTCCCGAATCTCCCACGTCTTTGCCTTTTACTCTCTCAGGATGCGCTTCTCCACCACTCTTGTCTCTGGTCTCATCTACGTGTTTCTCGGACTCTCGATCGCTAACGGTGCCAGCCTTGAATACTCCCTTGAGAGACGCTGCGCCAGCAACGGCTCCTTCTGCGGCTCGGCAGGCGGCGGTGTCGCTTGCTGTGCCGGCCTTTTCTGCTCGAGTAGCAGCGTAAGTCTCAACTGGAATACTCTTAGCCTTACTTGGCATTTACCGTCGCATGGATGCAGGTCTGCCGTTCCTGTGTCACCAATGGAGGTTTCTGCGGCTCCGCTGGAGGAGGAGTGCCCTGCTGCAGTGGGCTGTTCTGTTCGAGTAACAGCGTGAGTGTTGCGCGAAATGTTGTTTTATCATCTTATCCCGTCGTCGACGCAGGTCTGTCGCTCTTGTGTTACCGAAGGAGGCTTCTGCGGCTCCGCTGGAGGAGGAGTTCCCTGCTGTGCTGGCCTGTTCTGCTCCTCTAACAGCGTGAATATCGACCGTATCCGGTTCATTGTAAGCGATGCTGACGAATCATGTAGGTCTGTCGCTCCTGTGTAACCTCCGGAGGCTTTTGTGGTTCTGCTGGCGGGGGCGTACCCTGCTGCGCTGGTCTTACCTGCACTACCTTTGGCGTAAGTCTTCCCCCTACTCTACCAAGACACTGGGTATCTTCGATTGACGATGTTTCGTGTAGACCTGCGCTTAAAGAAACCTTAGCGTCAAAGCAGAAGAGATCGAACATTGTGAATTAGTGATAAAGAATCGGGATCGTTTCCTATGGACAGCGTATGTGATATCTTGTAAATGTACCCTTGTGTTGTCTGCGATATGCGTCTCCATGACATCTATCGCAAGCCTCGTCTCGTCTCCCGCTCGCAGCTTCCCCGCCAACTTCCCGCGCAGTTCCTCGACGTCAGCGAGGCTACTCGACATCTGGGATCAAACCTCTTTAGTGCTATAAGGATCCATCATGTTATCGTCCATCGCACTTGAGCATGACTTCGACTTTGGGACATCCGGGTTGTGCCCGACTCTGGCGCGCGCTACCAGCGCAGGTCGAGAAGCCCGTGAACATAACGGTTAAACATGGCCTGGCGGGGTCTTACTTCGGTCTCGAATCACATTAGGTGAATTCAAAACCTATGAAAGTTGTACTTGAGAAGTAATACTCTAGTGTTCGTGTCAGAGGAATAGTAGATAAGTTGACCAAAACCAATATCATGTCTGACGCCCATCCACCCCACCTTGAGAGTATCGCAAAACGGTCTTCAAGCGTCAGTCAGTTGCCGCGCCCACCCTGACGAACCATAAGTCCAAGATGACCGATGCGAGTCTACCGTACGATGAGTTTCAGAGGTTTGCCGTGCTTCTTGCCAAGTTCGACAATGCGTTTACGCGCATAATCCGTTGCGGTTCCGTTCGCAACGATAATTGGATTGTTAATCATGAACGATCGGCCAGTAGCCTCACGGAGTGTTCGTCCAGGCTCTCGCAGGGGCGCTCCTGGAGCGTCCGTGTCAAGCCGCCGCTCTACAAGGTCCGCGAAGCGTGGGGCATCCGCATTTCCCATTCCGCACTTCAACTTCACGATGACCGGAAGGAGTTCCGCGCGAGCCACCTGGTCCAATAGGGATGCAGGGAATATGCAATAGGGCATGCGCAGCTCTTGGAGGCAGGGGAAAACCACCAGCAGAGGGTGAAACAAATCCCTATCTGTTCCAATTCGTATCAATCGGCCGTGCACTCTGAGAGCGCCGATGGGCGGTACGTATGAGAACTCCGTGAGGACACATTGAGAGCGTTCCACCATGCGTATGATGGGTGTCGCGTCGAATACCTGTGATACATCCTCGATCTGTAGGGAGGTGAGGGAAGGGAGAATCAACGGCTGCAGGATTGCCTCTGTATATCGCCATAGTCGAAGGTGTCGAAGACGAGGGAGAGAGATCGCGTCGTCAGCGATAGAAACGGGCATGTCCCATGGACCCTCGTTGTACCTGGGGATATCACCAGTCGGCCTGATTCTTTGCAATACGTGCATGGTTTCGAAAAACTCAATTTGCGGCGCGTGAATATGGATATCGAGAAGTTGACGCCATGGCGCCTGGTACCAAGACTCTGTATAGACCGTCATGCGATTCCAAAGTCGAAGCTCCGTGAGCGCCACGTGCCTCCATCGACGGCATACTTGAAGCAATGACCAGGGTGTCCCAGACTTGCGGGGTTCGTTCAGGCTGACATGTCGGCCGTCAAGTTCCTGGACGAATATCTCGGCGAGGACTTCCGAGGGGATACGTTTAATAGGAGCGAGCGCGCTCGCAAGTGTCTGCAGCGTTTCCTTCTCCTGCGTCCTTTTCAGAACCAGTTCATCGATTTCCCTATCTAAAGCCTCTATGTTGTGCGTAGCGACTGCCGTACAAGCTCGTGCGGCTGCGGATTCCACATCTGAAAGTACAGCGCCATCGGAAGCGTGGGCCGAGCGTAAGATATCAATGAGACTCTCCGAGTATGCTCGAAGGTTCGACATCGGATAGCCTGGCTATAAGGACTTAGAAAACAAGCGGGTGTGGGAGATGTGGACATGACCACTGCTTACTTGGTTGCTTCCTTCCTTCCCTATCGGATACGAAGGACCTTCCCTGTAGGCCTGCACGACGCTGTGGGTAAAGGCGTCTGAAAGGCTGAAGGTGCCAGGTCGCCGTGGCGATGAACTGAAAGACTAACCATACTCGTGTGTATCTCACGATCAGATAAGATAATCTCCCCGCCACTGCGTCCTGGTTACTTGTTACTTGCTTGTTACAAGACTCTCGAGTCGCAGGGGATCAAACCACGCAAATATATCGAATAGAGGATTAAGACTTTACCAAAAGAAAATATGTACATATGATTGATCACGGTGAAGTAACTCTCTCCCGAGGGGAAAAAATCATGTACAAGGATACATTGACCGAGACAGGGGTCGAACCTGCAATCTCCTGATAGGTAACTTCGAATCGTAGTCAGACGCGATGCCATTTCGCCACACGGCCATGCTACTAGTACCTGACTAGGTTGATCGAACCCGCAGCAGCCCACCAGAATCAGACGGAATGCGACTCGGAGCCGGAGATTCTCAAGTGAGAAAGAGACAGTTGCGGTGAAAGGGCTCATAGATGCGGGACTATGTAGTAACATGTATAGGGAATTACCTGTGCTGGCGACACCGTCGTGTTTCGGTGGGGGTACCTCCCCTGAGTCGTCTTTCGTGCATCGGCAGCGCAGAAGGTGATCATGACCAGAACATGTCGCGCAGGATGAAATGAGAACTCGGGTTGGGTGGGGATATCTTGCGCGTGGAAGATGAGAACGCCGTTGTGCGGGAGGAGGGCGAGTTGAATGGGAGTGGGACGGTCGATGACAGCAACACCCAAATATGGAAGACCCAACCACGAAAGACATCCAGCGCAGGTCCATCAAGAAGCAAGTCCCCAGCCCACCCCTCCCTCCCGCTCTGAGACGAGTTGCTCCCGCCTCAACTCCGCCCACCTCCCCAGCCCAAAAAACTACGGCAACCTCTCCCACACCCCCTCCCTCCCCCTCCCATATCTCCCCCTCGCATGCACACACTTCCTACACACCCCAAGCTTCTCCCACCTCTTCCACGGCCTCAACGGGTCTGGCCCCCTTCCGTCCACACCCAGCAGTAGTGCGCACTCCACCATGGGCCCGAGCGTAGCCTTACACGTCCCAGGGGAAGCACATGCCGACGAAGGCTCGAACGAGGCGAGGAAAGCATGTGATAGAGCGGCTTGCGCGGCGTGGAGGTGGGTTCTGCCGACGAGAATGATCGTTTTCTGGTGCCAGAAGAGTAGGGAGCGGGGGGGGAGGAAGCGGCGCGGGGAGGAGGTGCGCGCGAGGAGGTAGGAGGCGTAGGGGAGGATGGTGGGGACGTTGTTTTCGGTGCCGAAGGCGATGGCGCGCATTATGGAGGAGAATTTGGGTTTGGGTGGGAGGTTGGGGTTTGAGTTGGATCGGTCGGGGGTTTGGGTATGGGCTTGGTGGTGGTGGTGGTGGGGGGTGGAGTGACGATGGGAATGGCGATGGCGATGGTTGTGACGTTGCGAGCTTGATCGGGACAGCAAGGGCTGAGGCTGAGGCTGGCTTGCAGTAGAGGTATCAGGCTGGGTACCATTCGGACTTGGGACGAGAGAGAACGTGATGGTGCTGGATACGGACGTATCGCCATGGTCTGGGGATGTACTACCAGTTGACGGTGTAAACGGCTTCGGAGACGCCAGATAACCCTGGTACGAAGTTGGGAAACGCGCCACCAGCAGCGTGATGCACCGTCTGCGAAGCTCGAGGATGATATACTTCGTGCTTAGGCGCAGGATACCGCTGATGAACGTGAGCAGCACGTCAAGATCTGCACCAGGCGAGAGTTCGTTGAAGTGCCTATGTCAATTCAAAATACATTGTCAGCAAAATCTACAGAGGAGGAAGTAGTTGGCGACATACGATGGATGATATATCATATATGGCCCGGAGCAGATCCTCGAAATCGCTGGCCCGGTCATGCAACTCGACCACCGACATCCCTCAAACATTCCATCTGCACCTCCACCCTCCAGGGGCTGCGGCAAACCAAACATATCCTTGAAAACCTGTCAATGATTGACCAAAACCGCCTGATGGACCTTGAAAAGCGTGTCTCCGACCGCAAGCACTATCGACCCATCGTGCAGCCAGAAGTCAGCGCTCCTGGTGGGTTGAGCACCACTTGTTATCGATCGGCGGGGCATAGAGTCATGAGAGCATCAAATAAAAGGTCCTGAGTTGAAAGTGGGAGAGAACGTGTTGAGTATGAGTCGTTCGACATCGCGAGCCTGAGGAACGTGAAGAGCACAAGGCGGCGGGAGTGTGGCTGTGCTCGGGCGCTTTGTTTTGATCGAGCGTCTGAAACAATCGGGGACAAATTGAGTAAACCATGGACATTCCTTTCCTATGAAAGTTGTCCTTGCCCCACAGCCGGTCGGGGACATCTACTGAACGGTTCAGAGCTGCTGGTACGTGTCGATCGTTAATAGACGTTGCCAACATGTTGACATATGAGATCAACTCCCCAGATGAAAATTCGGCAGCCGCCTTCCGCTGTTGCGCAGGTCCTCTTGGATGAAGGTTTCTGCTGCAGTCGGACAGTAATATCTTGTCTTCAGCGAACAGGATCTATTCAGGCTTGTGTCAGTTACGTTTTCTTCGACTAGTGATCAGGAGAACACCCGGTATTGACGAATCCGCTGTCGTCATATCGCTGACGCAAACGCCATCCATGATCAGCAACCAGTGTTGACTAATTGGCTTGTGCACATAATCTTTGCACGAGCCCCTGCGGGCGTGAGGTTACTACTGCCAGCATCCGTACGGTCGGTCAAGACCTCGTTCCCCAGCATGACGGAAAGGCCCGACATTCATCCTCCGGCCATGCTCGGCCTATCTAGATCGCATATTTGTGAGCCAACGCTCCCCTTTCGATAACCCCCTGCCTTCGCCTCCTTAACCACATCTACCCGACAAGAATACGGTAACGCTGAAGCCCCAGACAAGGAAGACTCATCATGGTGATGTCAGGTGGTTGCGGTTGAATATCGAAGTATGGGAGGTGGGGTGATTGTCTGCAAGGGATCAGCTTCTATCTCCAAGACTTACGCGCTGCTGTCGAGGCATGTTCGACGGTCTAACATCTTTCGGGAAGCTTTCGATTGCAGCAGTCATGATACGTTCTCCCACTTCAGCCGTTTACATTCTCGCACGGCATATTACAAGAGACAAGAGATGTCATGTTTCCTTTTATACATCAGTCGACCGGACGTGCTTTTGCTAGGTTTATGGGAGCGGTAACGCCGGTTTATCATCGGACAAGAGTCCAGCCCTTTCTTTTGGCCCCCATCGAGCAACAAACCTAGTTCGGATGTTATCAGTTCCACGCGAGGTTTTAGGGAAATATAATCACATATCATACGTCCAGCTCGTCTTCGCGACCTCCGCTCCCGTCTCATGAAATATTCGGACACTGAAATCAGGTCCGCACTCGATTTTGATCTGTTCCATCCTCCTAGTGATATTCCTCATCGATTCCCAAGGTATGGAATCCCCGAGGTGGATATAGCCAATCGCATGACGAACGAGTGGTCTCACACCCTTTGCTATCCGCTCCTTCGTTCGAGTCTCTAAGCCGTCTACGAATGCCACAACGGACGTTCCTTGAAGCCCGCATGATATGGATCGGAGGCGGGGAAGAATTTCCCCGTTAGCGAGAGAACGTATGCATGGGGGGTCTAGAACCACGTCGGGGAATCGAAGTGTATGGAGGGATGATACGAGATTCAGGAATCGGAGAAGGTTGGGTGGCCTGTCGCAATGTGATATTCCAAAAGAGGTAAAGGTAGCCAAGGCGCATTCTGAGCGTGTAATCATATCGCAAAGCATCCCAGCTGGGAACGCATTCTTCGCCTCGCCCATGAGTTTCAGTGAGAGGAGTGCTGGCGTGATAAGCTGGTCAAGGAGTGGGATCGACTGTTTGATCAACGTGAGGTCTTTCAATCGAGGCAATACAAACGTCGTGGCGACTTCTGGGGGTGGCTCGTGAAGGGCATGCATTGAGAGCTCTTCTACCTGCAAGCACTCACGGAGTACATCATATACTCCTGCGATCATCGTCTTGGAGTCATTGGAACTGTCCCACGGAAGCAGGATGATGCGCGTAATCTTGAGCGAAACTAGCTGGTTCCACGGGAGCAGATTCATTAGCAACGACGGGGACAGCATAGTTGCTCCTGCTAGCTCGACGTGCTGGAGATCAGGGAGGTTATGGACATAGTTCTCAGCGATTAGGCGCTTGTCAACGGCCAGGACAGAGGGCAGTTTAGCGCGGAGTCTTTTCAAGGAACGACATTCGCCAAGAACACGATGAAGGTCCCACGTCGCCTGGTCGAGAAATTCGCCGATGACGAGCGAGGTCAGCTGATGCCACCGTATGGGAAGGCTCGTCACGAAGTTTGTAATGCGTGAATTGAGTAGCAATCGTGGTCGAATTTCAAGCATCCTGAGGTTAGTGGCGCTCTTTAAGATGTCCGCTTTCGAAAACTGTCCTGCGACTTCAGGGATATGGGACGCACCCCACAGGTCTAAGTGGAGAGATTCGAGGTTGGCGAGGGACGGGGATGGGGTGTTGAGAAGGTGAGAAAATGATGAAATGGTAGTCTCGATGCTTAACCCCTTCAGACGGGCAAGGCGGGGGATGACGAGCGTATCGAGTATTGTCCGCATCGCAAAGCCGCTCCGAGTCTCGTTCAAAGGCTCTTCCAGCGAGAGGAACAGGGGCCCTGCTGGAGGTAACACATCTTTCGCGAGCGAGATGAGTTTTGGGATCGGGATAGTGCCGAATTTCCTTGCATCAAGCTTGAACATGTTCCAGAGGCAGGGTTCATTCAATGCGACCGCCCTCCACCGTGAGCAGACTTTGCGCAGCAGCCATGGACACCGCCAGGACGTTGGAGGGAATCTCGTGGACTGTCCATCCACAGTATGTATAAAGATCTCCACCAGGGCTTCGGTGGGCAGCCTTTTATGGGGCGCGAGAGCAATCTGAAGCCTCGATATAACGCTCGCTATCTCGGCCTGCTTCGCGATAGATGGGTCGATCTCCTGATCCAAGGAGTACAGTTCTCTCTCCATATCAGCAAGCATCACCTTTGCCAGCATTCTCTCTCGATCGGACAGGATGTCGTCGTTGGTGGTTCCCGCCTCGAATTCTATTTTGCGCCTAAGAGCGGGGTCCTTTATGATTTCTTCCATCATCTATAAATCTGGAATACAGGTCTGCAGTCAGGTTTGGCACCGGTTTTGAATATGAACGTAAAAGGCTAGATGCCTCGCGAGAGCAGGAAAGGTAGCAGACTCTCGAATCAAATCAAACCAGAACATTGATCAAAAGTCGCGGAGGCAAGCGGAGATGCAACTTGCAAAAGTTCGGTGATGAGGAAGCCGATTG